GCAGGTCGACGACGCGCCAACGCTGCAGCAGAGCGGCTGTCCAGCGTTGCCCCGTAGAACACAGCAGTACGCACGCTCGCAGGTGCGCGCAGACGATTGGCCCGACTTGCCTCATTGGGCATCCGTCGGCTGTTGTCTGCGCCTGACGAGCCACATCGACTTCGGGATACCAGCCCGCAGTCGCCTTCGCCATCGCGACCTCGACGACGTTCGCGTGCCTCCGCAGAACTCGTCGCGCAGGTTAGCCGGTCGACATGGTGGACCACCAAGTGCTTCCGGTCGACCACCACTGCCTCTGGTCGACCACCAGGTGCCCCTGGTCGACCACAGTTCCCGTCGAGCTACCCCCTGGTCGACAGACCCCTTCCGTCGACCAGAACAGTCAGCAGTTATCGCTGAACTCCCCTCGTCGACCGCTGCTCACTTGCCAGGTCGACGGACTGCTCCGTCGACCTCCCGATCGAACTGCAGGTCGACGGGCTGCTCCAGGGATCTCCCGGTCGAACTGCCCCTCCGGTCGACGGCCCACCCGTCGTCTAGACCGGTCGGTTGCAGCTGTCGAGCTCCCTAGTTGACAGCAATACCACAGCGGTCCCCTGCAGCTCGACGAAGCCTATCGAGCAGCTCTCCCACTGTGAACGGTCGGCTGCTACTCCCGTACATCCGACCAAGTCGTCGGCATTGCCCAAGCGAGGGCGGGGTCAACACTCCATTTCCGTTAACAGAACGGTCGGTCGCTTCTCCCGTACATACGACCAAGTCGTCGGTGTTGCCCAAGCGAGGGCGGGGCCAACACTCCTCTCCCGCATTTGGTCACGAACGGCACTGCCCAACCGGGTAACCTGCGAACGTTTAGCGCGACTCGGGATTGTCAGAGGTCCCCTGGTGATCCCTCGATTGATCCTAGGGAAGGGTTACATGCACGTTGGTCTAGGGGGTTATGCGCGCACTTACCCGCTACACAAACAAGCCCTTTTATCCCAATGGTCTAATGGTTGGGATTCTGACATGGTATCAGAGCGAAGATCTCGGGTTAGCCAGCTCGCCACCTACCTCAAGAAGCCTGAAACGGAACACCTGGCGGAGCTCGACCGCGCTCTTCACTACCTCATCAGCACCCCGACGATCGGTCCGACTTACCACAAGAACGCAACTACAACGCCTAAGCTAATCGGCTACGTCGACGCCGATCACGCGGGCGACTCCGACAACAGACGCTCGCGCACTGGCTACATCTATCAGTTTGAACCCATCGGACCTATCTCTTGGCAGTCGAGCAAACATGAACTAATCGCGCTCTCCTCAGCTGAAGCAGAATATATAGCACTCTGCTCAGCCACCAAGGAAGGACTCTACCTTCGCGAACTCCTGGAAGAAGCGAAACTAGCTCAGTTACCCAGCTTCACCCTGTTCTGCGACAACCAGTCAGCAATTCGCATCGCCAACAAGAACGGCTTCGCGAACAGGACGAAACACATCGCCCTGCGATATTTCTTCGTGAAGGACGAGATCGAGAAGGGGAGACTCGAGCTGTCATACTGCCCCACATCCGAGATGGCAGCTGATTACTTGACCAAGAAGCTCGGAAAACAGAAGTTCGAGTACTGCATGCTGCTGACTGGACAGAGCCACGTCACCAACAGCGACACTCCAGAAGCGAAGGGGGGTGTTGGAAACAATCGAGCTTAAGCGCCTCTGTCGTGTCGAAACACCAAGGCACAAGCGAAGCGAAGCATATCGAGGCACCAGCGAGTCAACCCTCGGAGGTTGAAGTAACTGCTGGAGGTTATGCGAAAGTCAAAGGTCAACGACCTTTGACCTGACAAGTACAGCGCGACAGCAAGGACACACAACTGACTCGTTACAGAGCAGTTGCCCGAGTCGTTACTGTATCGAACCGCAACAGCAACAGCAAAGTAGTTATAACTGTATCTCTTCACATTCCTTGTACTCTTATATAATCCTGTATCTCTTTGCTTTAATCAATCGACTTTGCCCTCACATACTAGCGCAAGGTGGTTCAAATAATTCTCATTAAGCTTCCGCTATTACATCAGTCCTACCCAGAATTCACTCCTGCAAAGATCCTAAGGGCTTTTCTCAGCCCAACACACACAAGGACCCACATGACACATGCCAGACGGTGCGTGACACGAGATACTATAGCCCATTCACCATGGTTTTATACTGAGAAGAACATTGATCATCACCAATTTTCACACACGACGATACTACTGGTTTCAAGAGGTGCTGATCAGGGCTCTTGCTAGGATTCAAGCCCGTCTGAAGACATGTATAAAAAATTTCGTTTGGTCTGACGTTTTGACGAGGAAAAAAGGTTAGTCTGAACTTTCAGACGAGTGCAAACGCCACGTCTGATTTTTCAGCTGAAATAGATAGTGCTGTCTGTTTTTTTTCAAATTGCATCGTGTAGTGTATTACCGTATATCGATTCAGGGCGACACAACCTAAATGTGGAAGGTTGTTGGGCAGCTCGCGGCATGCTGAGGGCAGGGGGGGTGGGTGTTGGGCTGCGACAAGGACTTCGGGGGAGTTCGGCTGGGGGTGTTGGGCTGTTGCGAGACTTTTCGAGAGGAAAGCGGGCTAGGCTAGGAGCGGGGACCTGGGGAGGGGACCTAAGGCTGGGGGAAAGGGGGAGAAGGGCTGGACTAGGCCAATAATATAGGGACGAGGAGCGAGGGCATCAAATGGGGGGCTGCGCTGTTAGAGAAGCGAGGGATCGGGGGGGAAGAAGGGGGGGGGGGGGGGGGGTGGGGGGGGGGAGAGGGGATTGGGGTCGATATCAGACAAAATGCAACCCCCTATCTGAAATTTCAGACGAAGTATAAGGCTTCCTCTGAAAAATCAGATGAACTGAAATTCGTTATCTTACAGATCAGACGAAGTAAAAATCCTCGTCTTGAAAATCAGATGAAAACAAAAATCAAGGTCTGAAAATCAGAAAATCAGACCAATTTGGTCTGATAACGAGAGCCCTGCTGATGGTGGCAGGATGAGTGGTGATGCAGTTAATGACCGGGGAATCGGGGATGCTAGAGAATGTTTACTACATGAGCCTCATTCCATGCTGATGTCATGCCACTAATCATACTGATGTCATGTCACTTGCCATGCCACTTGCCATGCCACTTGTCATGCCACTTTCCATGCTGATGCCATGCCACTTGCCATGCTGGTGCCATGCCACTTGCCATGCTGGTGCCATGCCACTCGTCATTCTGATGACATGCCAGCTGAATGCTAACCGTCCCTGGTTTGACCATGCCATGTCTTTGCAGTGATCAACATCGGATTCACAAAATTGGGGCCACTTTTGAGAAGAGTGCTCAATTCTCAAGAGTGATTCATTAACTGATAACGTCTCCAATCTTTACTGCCGTGCTTCTTCACAGAAATGCTTGACTATGAGACACTACTTGCAGTGTCGAACGAATAACATGGTTGATGGTGCCGGTGCTGAGGGTGCGGATGATGGTGATGTAGATGCTGGTGCTAGTGCTCATGGGTGCTGGTGCTGCTGGTGATACTAATTGTACATGGGACAAGTAAGCTGCGGATGTTGAGATTGATGCTCTGATGCTGATGCTGATGGTGAAGCTGATGGTTGAATGAAAAGGGCCATGGGAGGATGTGGATGGATGTTGGTCATGGTTGAATGTGGCCCACCCACAGTAGAATACTGATGCTGGTTGTACACAGCACACAGTGAGCAGTGAATGTTCCTGCTGATGGTGCTGATGTTGTGTTGATACTGATGTGCTAATGCACGCTTGCAATGATACGTTTCGATGGCATTTGAGATGGTACTCTCGAATAGTGCTTCGTTTAAATGTCAACCATGGTCAACCCATGCTAATGGTGGTGCCCGGAATTGGTATGGCAATCGATGGTAGTGCTGGGAATTGGATGGAACGGAAACCATGTAATGTTGGCGATTGCAATGCAATGGCAACCCACCATGGGAATGCTAGCAATGGAAATTGGAACAACAACCTGTGATGATGCTAGGAACTGAAAGGGCAATCGATGGAAATGCTATTGATGGGAATTGGAATGGCAGGCCATGGGAATACAAGTGGCTAAAACTGCATGTCAAACAATGCTAATGCTAATGCTAGTGATTGGAATTGGAATGGGAATGCATGGTAATGCTAGTGATGAAGGTGGAATGACAAGCCATGCTAATGCTAGTGGCTGGAATTGCAATGCTGCGCAATGCTGATTCTAGTGACTGGGGGAGTTGGAATGGCAATCCATAGTAATGCTAGTGACTTCAAATTGGAATGACAATTCATGGTAATGCAAGCGAGTGGTTGGAATTGCAATGCCAAACAATGGTACTGGCAGGGAAATGGAATTGGGGGAGTTGGAATGGCAATCCATCGGAATGCAAGTGGCTGGCATGCCAATTGACTGCAATGACCCAACACAGGTGCAATACGTGCAATAACCATGTCCTGCACATGCCTGCATGCCACGCCATGTGCATGCCACATGGATGCCACGTGGATGCCACATGGATGCCACATGGGTGCCACATGGATGCCACATGGGTGCCACATGGATGCCACATGGGTGCCACGTGGATGCCACATGGGTGCCACGTGGATGCCACATGGATGCCACATGGATGCCATGTATGCTACCTCCATAAGCAGACAAAGCAGCAGCAGCAGCCTCCGCCCCTACCGCTCCTGTTGGCCCTCCATCCGAACCTCCATCCGACCTTGCATCCGAACCTCCATCCAAACCTCCATCCGAACCTCCTTCTGAACCTCCATCCAAACCTGCATACATCCCTGTTAACAAAATCTCAGCTTTTCAACTGTACCAATACCTTCTGCTCCTGCTGCCTCTACTGCTCCTGCTGACCCTACTGCCCCTGCTGACCCTACTGCCCCTGCTGTCCCTACTGCCCCTGCTGTCCCTACTGCCCCTGCTGTCCCTACTGCCCCTGCAGCTCCTACTGCCACACACCTTCACGCCCAAAACACACACTTAGTCAACCCACTCGCTGCTGCCAGTGCTGCAGCTTCTGCCCCAATCGCCCCTCCTGCCCCAATCGCCCCTCCTGCCCCTCCCAACCCTCCTGCCCCTCCCAACCCTCCTGCCCCTCCCAACCCTCCTGCCCCTCCTAACCCTCCTGCCCCTCCCAACCCTCCTGCCCCTCCCAACCCTCCTGCCCCTCCCAACCCTCCTGCCCCTCCTAACCCTCCTGCCCCTCCCAGCCCTCCTGCCCCTCCCAACCCTCCTGCCCCTCCCAACCCTCCTGCCCCTCCTAACCCTCCTGCCCCTCCCAACCCTCCTGCCCCTCCCAACCCTCCTGCCCCTCCCAACCCTCCTCCTGCCCCTCCCAACCCTCCTGCCCCTCCCAACCCTCCTGCCCCTCCCAACCCTCCTCCTGCCCCTCCCAACCCTCCTGCCCCTCCCAACCCTCCTGCCCCTCCTAACCCCCCCGCCCCCCCTGCTTCTACGTTCATTCCTGCTGCCGGTGGGGCCCATCTCTCCACCATATCCCCAAACCTAGCCGATCCTTCACACCCAAAACACACTCCTAAGTCAACCCACTCGCTGCTGCTGCTGCTGCCTCCGCCCCAATCGTCCCTCCTGTCCGTCCCTCCCTCCCCTCCTGCTCCCCCTGCTCCTCCATCCGTTCCTGCTGCTGGGGGCTCCGCCACTGGGCCTATCTCACTCTCCCCAACAGCCCCCACTCCCCCCACTCCCCCCCGCTGCCCCCATAGCCCGCCCCTCAACGCAATCTATGTCAACCCACTCGCTGCTGCCAGCGCCGCTGCTGCTGCAGCTTCCGCCCCTATCGGCCCCCCTGCTCCCCCTGCTCCTCCATCGGTCCCTGCTGGCGGAGGCTCCGCCACTGGGCCTATCTCACTCTTCACAACGCCCCCCACTCCGCCCACTTCCCCCACTCCCCCCATTCCGCCCATTCCCCCCATTCCCCCCACTCCCCCCATTCCTCCCCCGAAGCCCGGCCCCTTCACTCCGAGGGGGTTCTTGGAGAACTGGATTCGGATGGGGCCTCTATCGGAGGAGGCTAGAGAGGTTCCCTGTAACGCAGCGTGCACTGCTGATGCTGACGCTATGTCCTGCGGGAGTAGGGAAAGAGAGAGGGAGGGAGGGAGGGAGGGAGGGAGGGAGGGAGGGAGGGAGGGAGGGAGGGAGGGAGGGAGGGAGGGAGGGAGGGAGGGAGGAAGGGAGGGAGGGATGGAGAGAGGGAGGGAGGGAGGGAGGGAGGGAGGGAGGAAGGGAGGGAGGGAGAGAGGGAGGGAGGGAGGGAGGGAGGGAGGGAGGGGGGGTGAGAGCGACTCCCCAAAGCCCGGCCCCTTCACTCCGAGGGAGGGGGTTCTTGGAGAACTGGATGCGGATGGGCTCTCTGTCTCATGACGCGAGGGAGGTGCCTTGTAGTGCCGCGTGCACTGCTGACGCTGACGCTATGTCCTGTTGGGGTGATGGGGAGGAGGAAGGGGGTGAGGAAATGGGTTACAGTTGTTTCACCTCTCTCTGACACTCGGTCTGAGGAGGCGAGCCGAGCCATGTGCCTTGTAGTGCCGCGTGCACTGCTGACGCTGACGCTATGTCCTGCGAGGGCGGGGCGGGGCGAAGTGGGAGAGAGGGCACGACAGGACAGGTATACTGTACAGATAACTCAAAGCAAGAAAAGGAGCTCTCTGATCTGGCTTCAGCAGCTCTCACTTCATAAAAGAGATGTTTTGAGACGTCTCAAAACATCTCTTTTATCACAAAGCAAGAAAAGGAGCTCTCTGGCTTCAGCAGCTCTCGTTTTGACTTCAGCACTAACTAAAAGGGCTGCATGTGTGGCTTCGGTAGTACTCTTGTTTTGACTTTGGAACAAATCTCACCGAATATTGCACGAAGCAGCATGTGTTGGTGACGCCTTGCCTCGTCAGCTTCATTTGGACATAACCCGGTTGCCTGGGAGGGGGAGGCAATATCAGGGAAGGGCGAGTATGAAGGAAGAGGGGGAAAGGGAGGGGGAGGACGGCAGCATGTGTTGATGACGCCTTGCCTCGTCAGCTTCATTTGCACAGAGCCCGGTTGCCTGGGAGGGGGAGGTGGAGGGAGGTAGGACGGACAGGGGAATATGAAGGAAGAGGAGGAGGGAGACAGAAAAACTTTTGCCCGCGCACAAGGCTAAATCCGTGCAAGGACGGCCGCGAAAAAAGGCTGCATTTGGTTCAATCAAGAGGATTAAGAGGACAAGAGGAGGAGGGGTGGAGAGTAGTGGGTGGAAACCTGGGGCTAAAGGTTTGGAAAGAGTAGGGGGGAAGGGGGAGGAGGGGGGGCGGAGGGAGGGCGGGAGAGGAGGGGGAGGGGAGGAGACAGAGGAGGAGGCACTCACGTGCCGAAGACGCTGAGAATCTCTGTTTCGTTGACGAATGGGCTGAGATTGCCAATGTAAAGCGTGTTGCAGGGCGGGTTGTCCTTGTATACCTGAACAAAGGGAGAGAATGAAAGAAAAAAAACAACAATTGAAGTGTTTTGATGGCCTATATGCAATAAAAACAACGACGGCCTACATGGCAAAGACAAACCATGCATAATAACAGAATTCGTTCCTCTCATTCTGGAGTGCAGCGGGTGTATGCTGATGGTACAGTGCGACTTTTGATAATTCTCAAAAGTCGCTCCAATGCAGCGGGTGTATGTTGCTGGTACAGTGCGTGGCAAGACAGTGCTATGGAGCCCCTGCACAATTCTTCCCAGCACAACCCACATCCCAGTATGGGGGATCTTTTTTTATCCAACCCACCTTGGAGGGAGTGTACGACGGCGCTACAGTGCGCGGCATGACAGCAGCAGGAGCGGAGCCCACGGCTCCTCAACCGCCAGCCCACCTTGCAGGGCTTTACCAGCCCACTCACCTTAGAGGGAGTGTACGACGGCGCTACAGTGCGCGGCATGACAGCAGCAGGAGCGGAGCCCACGGCTGCTCAACCGCCAGCCCACCTTGCAGGGCTTTACAAGCCCACTCACCTTAGAGGGAGTGTACGACGGCGCTACAGTCCGCGGCATGACAGCAGCAGGAGCGGAGCCCACGGCTGCTGCCGCGAAGGCGGCTGCTGCAGCAGCGCCGTAGGGATCATAGGAAGCCGCTCCTGGAACCACGTATCTGCAATGGAAAGGGAGAGGGGGGGAAGGAAGGGAGGAGGCAGTAAGACAGCAGGGGTGGAGGCTACAGCTGCTGCAGCAGCACCGTAGGGATCGTAGGACGCCGCTCCTGGAACAACATAACTGCATGGGAGGAAGGGGAGAGGGTGGAGGGGGACGAGAGAGGAAGAGGTTAAGATGGAGCCACAGCTGCTGCAGAAAAGGCGGCCGCTGCAGCAGCGCCATAGGGATCATAAGAAGCTGCTCCGGGAACCACGTAGCTGCAAGGGAGGAAGGGAAGAGAGTGGAGGGGGGATAGAGGGGAAGAAGAGGAGGGGGGAGAGAGAGGAAGAAGAGGAGGGGGGAGAGAGAGGAAGAAGAGGAGGGGGTTGAAAGGTTAAGGTTGGAGGGGGATGGAGCCACAGCTGCTGCAGGAAAGGCAGCCGCTGCAGCAGCGCCGTAGGGATCATAAGAAGCTGCTCCGGGAACCATGTAGCTGCCTGCAAGGGAGAGGAGGAAGAACGAGGGTTCCGTGATGGGCGTTTATGTACCACATTTGACGAAACAAGGGTGGAAATATCGGGATACCAACAACGCCGCGTAATGACATCAATGCCAGGGAGCTCGGCACATAGGAAGTGAGAAAGGCGAAACATACTGCTCAGGGCTTAAAACAACACATGAGGTCAAGGCTTACGAGGTCAAGGCGTCAGCGACACGGAGCCTCTTGGCTGGATCTTCAGCACCTGAGGAGAGCGGGAAGGGGGAGTGGGGGAGTGGAAGAAGAAAGAAGGAATCAGAAAGCCTCTTGGCAAAATACACTGCTCAAGGCTTACGAGGTCAAGGCATCAGCCACTCGGAGCCTCTTGGCTGGATCCTCAGCACCTGAGGAGGGCAGGAAGGTGGGGTGGAGAAAGACGGAGTGGGGGAAGGAAGAAGGAATCAGAAAGCCTTTTGGCGAAATACAATGCTCAAGAATACGAGGTCAAGGCGTCAGCGACTCGGAGCCTCTTGGCAGGATCTTCGAAACCTGAGGAGGGCGGGAAGACAGATTGGAGGGAGGAATACGGAGTGGGAGAAGAGTATAATATCCAGTGAAGATTAAACCATGCGAGGGGAAAGGGGGAAAAAAAAGGAAGATAAATAAAACGTGGAACAGGCGACCAAACGTGAGCACGCACTTAATCATGACTCTCTGAACTGGACCAAGAAGCGGATTTTTGTCCCCGAAATGCCATCGGAACAGGCCTCGTTATTGCAACCTACACTTTTGTTTTTCGTCTTTGAGGAAGAGTACATTTTTACATGAGTACCTTTTTTTCTGAAGAGGTTCTTCTTGGCCATTTCCGCTCGGAGTACCGCATTGGACTCGACATCGAACAGCAGACCCTGCACATAAGAGAGAAAAGAGGAACCAGAAGTAAAAACACTTGCCTAGCTGACTTTCCAACCATCTGTTTCTCAACGCACGAGAAAAATGACCTGCCAAACTGACGCGACCGGATCAAAAGCGATCAGAACTGACGCAATCGGTGCTGACGCAACCAGATCTGTTCTGATTTGGCCACGTCAGCCCAGCGACCGACCGACGGCCGTACCTGCAAGGCGTCGCGAGCGGCGAAGGCCATGGCTGACGTGGAGAAGAGCGCGAAGCCCATTGGCTGGTCGCCCTTGTACGACAGTTGGCACGACTCGTAGCCCGGCCACCAGCGCAGCAGGTTCTGCAGCTCGCGCTCCTTTGTGTCGGGCGGAAAACCCGTTATAAAAATCGTACGAACCTGGAACCATGATAATATTTATAAAATCGGGAAATAGGTACAGATCGCGCTCCATTACGTTCGGCGGAAAGCCCGATAAAAAAATATAAAAATGCCGGTAAAAACGAATCAGCAAGTCAAAATCGTCAATGCGAACTTTCAATCAGAGAGAGGGGAAAGAACATAGAGGCTAATGGTAAGAGAGGCATTGAGGCAATATTAACTGAACTTCGTGGGCGGACGAAAACAAACGGAGCGGATTAAGGCGCTAGTTGATTGGTGCGCATAGACTAATATAAAGAAAGTCATTCTTAAACGGCAACAGACGATTTTCGAGGCGCCTGAAAAAATAGATAAAAAAATAATAATTACTCAGACGTTACAGGCGGAGGCTTACCACGTCTTCGCCTTCTACTGCGCCAGTTGGCCAACCTGCTAGTGACGTCATCGAGGCACTGACAGCGTACGTCAACAAATCGACTGTTCAGATTCAACAATAAACGGCCGTGATAGCGCTGTTGAGACGCAACCTTCGAGTCGACTGGCGGTAATGGGGCACTCAGCGTGATGGCATACGGAGCGGGAAACAGTGCGGCGGAAATTGTGGTCTAAGAGCCGCTCGGTCTGCTTCAGTCGAGTCTCTCTGGTCCTAATGCTGCCAGTCTGGGGTTCTGTAACTGTTATCGAGCTATTCAGGGCTGGAAGAAAGGGCGTGACAATAATGGAAAAGCCGGCAATACCAACAATGGTGGTGGGGAATATCTAATAGCTGGGTCTTGCAAGCGAGTTGACTTACTTTTGAGAAGTGTTACGAGTGCAATTGAGTGCATTACCGTTACCACTGTAGTCTCGCTATATATTCTTCGCTCATGCCTTCGCCTGGGACTGAGGTTGGGAAAAGTGTCGAAGCGGAGGCCCGTGTTGGAAACAATCGGTCCTAAGCGCCTCTGTCGTGTCGAAACACTAAGACACAAAAGAAACGAAGTAAAACGAATCACCGGCGAGTCAACCCTCGGAGGTTGAAAGTAACTGTTGGAGGTTACGCGAAAGTCAAAGATCAGCGACCTTTGACCTGACAAAGTACAGCGCGACAGCAAGGACAAACAACTGACTCGGTATTGAGCAGTTGCCCGAGTCGTCACTGTATCGAACCGCAACAGCAATAGTAAAACGGTTATTAACTGTATCTCTTCGTATTCCTTGTACTCTTATAAAAGCTTGTATCTCTTTGTTTTAATCAACTAACTTTGCCCTCACATACTAGCGCAAGGTGGTTCACAACTCTTTAATTAACGCTTCCGCTACTACACCAACTCTACCCAGAGTTCACCCCTGCAAAGATCCTAAGGGGTTTTCAGCCCAACATGGTATGAGAGCTATCAGGGGGAATTCAACTTCTATACCGACAACATCAACAAGCATGGCTACACAAAAGGAAAGGAGCAACTCCAACGGCTCCCAGGGCACTACTCCTACTCCACCTCCTGCCTCTGGCCTACAGACAGAGGAGGGCACGGCAACAAGACCCAGAGCAACATCTACCGAGACTCCCGCGAATCAACCTGCAGACTTCGACCAGAGCATGATGGAGAAGTTTTTCTCCTTCATGTCCTTCTACGAGCAACGCCAGCAATCGGCACCTGCGCAGTCACACAACAGCAACAACAACGGAGCAACACCCATGAGTCTCGACGGCTCATCATATGCACGAGGAAATCAACAACAGCAGCCTACCTTTGCTCCGTACGAGCGCGGGTCCATCAGCTTTATGCCACACCCACAGCCTTCACCTGGACAAGAAAAATCACTGGACGCATTACAAGTTCAGTCGCAGTTCGCACACGTTCTGAAGATGCAGACGTCAAGACCCTTCGATGGAAAGGACTTCTTCACCTGGTCGTTCAAGTTCGAGCTGATGATGGAAGGCGCGCAGATACTCGGGTTCTTCGACGGGTCTCTGCCATACCCAACAAACGGCACACAGTACGAGAAGCAGCAGTACACCTATCAGTCAATGATGGCGTACACGATCCTACTGAGGAATATCACCCCGACTCAACAGCAGAACATAAGGTCTTACCGAGGTTACGGCAACTCCGCGGAGCTCGCGTACAACCACCTGAAGAGCCTGTATCAAGCAACAGACAGGGTAAGCCAAAGTCGGTTAATGGCGCAACTGACAACGGTTGAAATGAAACCAGGGGAGAAAGGAATGGCGTATATCAGTCGATGTCGCGAGTTGCGCGACAAGCTTCTTCGATGCAGGGGGTCGATCTCTGAAGACGCCTTCGTGACAGTCATCATCGGCGGCCTCGGTCCTCAATGGCGCGCCACAAAGGCCATTCTCCGAGCTCACGGAAGAATCTCCGAAGCAGCGCTCTGCGCCAAAATCCACGCCGAGCAGCAAGACATGGACCTGCAAGAAGAACGACACAAAAAGAAGACATCAGCACCGGAATTCGCGTTTCACACTCAGCGACGCTACAACAACAACAACAACCGGCAGCAACAACCGAAGCCAGTACCTCCGTTCTGCCACATCTGCAAAACTTCAGGACACCCGCGTACGCACTGCCCGAATCGTCAACAGTCAACAACTCCACAGCGGCAACTTCGACCTTCAAGCAGCCAAATCGCCTCAACACAAGCAAATCCCACGACCCAGATTCAAGCTTCAACGACTTCAACGGGACAACCTGCACAAGGAGCAAGAAACATCGTCAGCTGCATGGCAAAGCTGAGTGACTCCTGCATCACCGAGTCACCACCACACTACTCACCGGAAGAACAACTCGACGAAACCACACCCCGCCGCGAGTCACTTCAGCCGAACCCGACATACGCCGCCATCGCCCAAAGCGAACCATCCGGAAAAGACACATGGTTCTTGGACAGTTGCTGCGGACAGCACATGTGCTCCTTGGGACGCTTCGTTCAACGAGAACACCAACTTCAACGCGAAGTTGTCATTACAGTCGCCAACAATCAGAACCTGCGAACACGACGACAAGGCGTAGTTCAACTTCAGTCAAGGGAAACAAACGTTATACTGCAGATGTCAAAAGTACTAATCGCGGAGGGACTCGGCTACAACTTACTGAGCGTCAGTCAGCTAATGGCGAAAGGGATTCACCTCGAAGCAGACAGCACCACCCAAGAATTCAAGCTGTATCACGGGAGAGGAGGACTTTACATCGGCAAGGCGGTCCTCAAGAACAACGTCTTCGTTCTTGATTTCGTTCCTGATCTTGGCACCGCCGACAGCGACGCCATCGTTAACTTCACCAACTGGACACACCCTCCAGACCTTGATCCAGAATTCAGTCCGGAAGGCTTCTGGTATTCACACACCATCCCTGAAGCAGAAAGAACAAGGGCGTTAGCAACAATTCAGACAACATCAGCAGCAGCAGAGACAACATCGGCAGCAGCAGAGACAACATCGGCAGCAGCAGAGACAACATCGGCAGCAGCAGAGACAACATCGGCAGTAGCAGAACCATCAACGGCAGCAGCAGGAACGTCAACACCAATTGCTGGTCCTTCAACGACACCGCTCCTCATCGACGACACACCACCGACACCCGCGCAACAACTACACCCAGCACCACAAGAAGTTCATCGTAGCGCCAACTCCACCGCCAACTTCTACTCCAACTCCGATATGTACCGACGATCACCTGGACATCGCGCCGACGAAAGCACCTGGCACGCAAGGATGGGACACCCAAGCAACACAGTATTAAACAATACGATAAGAGCAGGAGTACTCGACAAGGACTCACTCCTACTGACCGACGGACGAGAACTTCAACGAGTACGCGGAACGTGCTTCACCTGCCCTGAAGGTGACTTACCACATCGACCGTTTGCGTCTCATCACAACCCGAGCGCACCCGCGTACGCACCACTCGAGAAGGTGTATAGCGACATCCTGTACAATCGGGAACCAGGACAAGTAATATACAACTATACAATCACCTTCATCGACGCCGCCACCCGTTACGTCTGGCACCTAAACCTCCCTAGCCGCGACATGGCATTCGCAGCCTTCGTTGCCTGGCTACCAGTAGCAGAGAGAGAATCGGGCGTGAAACTGAAAAGCTTCCAGTCAGACGGAGGAGGAGAATACACCTCTCAGCGATTCAAGCAGTACCTGGCGGAAAGGGGAATCAAGCGGCTCATCTCCCTTCCCTACGCCCATCAGCAGCAAGGTGTAGCAGAAAGAATGAACAGGACCTTGCAGAACAGCATGCGCAAACTGTTACGTGGCATGCGGCTACCCAACCACCAGTGGCCTGCGGCAATGGACCACGCCGTCATGCTGCACAACTTGCTCTCGTCATCATCGCTTCCAAACAACGCATCACCGCATCTGCTATGGACAGGGAAACAGGGCAGCACAAAAATGTTACGAGTATTCGGATGCATGGTACAGTACCGACCCCCAGCAGCACGAGCGGGCCGATTTTCTCAACGAGCACAGTGGGGACTACACCTGGGAATCGAAAAGAACTACAACGCGTGGAAAATCTTCGACGTCCATTCCAAGGAAACAGTAGCAGCACGTGATGTAATTTTCTACGAACGACTCACGCTCCAGACATACCTTGCCAACCTGCAAGAAGACCAGGATCCCACAGGTGGTTTTCGCGGTGACCGAGCCTTCGCCTCAGCAGCGGACGAAGCTGACTGGGACGAGCAGAATGTGGACATCGCATCAGAAGAAGCCGGACCTCTTCCGTTCTGCTCCGTCGACGTTCCCATGGACGAAGATAACCCTCGCGAAAGTGGCAACGCCGAAACCTTCTACTATTTCGCCGACAACGGTTACGTAACACCTGCGACAGTCAACACCAACGAAGCAGAACGAGTAGGACCCAACTTCATACCTGATCCAGAAGCGGGAGATGAAGCAGCTTATCCCGAGGACGCAAATCTTCCCCGCTACTCACATAGTGGACTGCAAATTCTCGGACTCGTCACCGCAGTCCACGGCACCGCCATTCCTAAAGAGCATG